TCCTTGCCAAGTTTATTTCATGTACTATATAATATCTTCTAGAGTCATCCATGTTGCAAGTGAAAAGATTCCATTCCTTTTGAAGACTGAATTGTATTGCACTGTGAATAGATAAGACATTTTCTTAAATCCAGTCAGGTGACAAGGAATGTTTAGGTTCCCTTCTGGATCTTGGTTGTTATGAGTAACATTGCAGGGACCAGAGGTGCAAAGCTATCTCTCTGTCATACTAAACCAGAAGAGGAATTGTGAGATCCAACAGCCATTCCGAGGTTCAGAGGAAGCCCTGTACATTTTCTTGTAAAGGCTACACAAATTCACTCTCTTGGGAACAGATCCTTTTCCCATACCTTCTCCAACACTTATTTTTATTTGGCTTGTTTGCTTTTGTTTTTTACTTTAAATATTTTTTATTTTTGAAATTAAAATATAATTACGTCATTTCCCCCTCCCTATCCTCTTTCCAATCCTTCCTTTGTGGCTTTCCTTTCTCTCTCTCACATTCATGGCCTCTGTTTCTTTAATTGTTGTTACCTGTGCACGTGTGTGTGTGTGTGTGTGTGTGTGTGTGTGTGTGTGTGTTCCTAAATACATAAATACAACCTGCTCAGTCCAGATAAAGTTACCTGTTTGCATTTGCATTTGATTTCAGGTATTGGATATCAATTTGGTATTAGATAACCATTTACAGGACTTTTCCTGGGGCAAGACTATTTCTCTAGCTCTCAGTATTCCTTAGCTGCTTGTAGGTCATTGTCTAGGTAGGGTTGAGGCCCCATGAGATTTCCCCTGCTCGAGTTCTCATGTCTATTGGTGTCTCTTTGTTCAGATCTTGTTGAGGCAGCCATGCCAATGAGACTTCATGTGTGTAGCTTCTCAAAATACAGCTAACAAGTGACCATGTGGTGCCCAGTCCCAACTGATGTGTCTACATCACACAACTCCTGTACCTGTGACTCAGAGATTAGAGCAGAAGAGGGAGCAGGAAGACTGTGGGAAGAAGGGCATCGGGAAGTTTGCAATGAGGATTTGTCTTCTGCCTACATTTCCAGCTACTTTTGCTGTGTAAAGTCTTTAATCTTCCCATATTTTTAGACTTCTTTTTTTTTTTTCATGAAAAGCAACATGAGGTTCTTTTGTAAAGATATTGCATTGACTCTGAAAGTCACTTTGGGTAATGGAGATATTTAAACAATGTGAACTCTTCCCAGCACCCATGTGGGATGACCCACACATGCCTATAATTCCAGTTCTAAGAGATCTTGCCTCCTTGAGAAACTGCATGGAGATATGTGCATACATACATACACACACATAATAAAGTAAATCATTTTTAAACATTTATTTTTAAAGACTCTCATGGAAGCTGTAAACATGAAACATTCAGCTGCATGGTTACCTGGGCCCATCTTGATACTGTCAAAACTTTCATATATAAATCAAGCTGCTGAGCAATTCCTCTGATCACTTTAACACAGGCCGATGTCACAGGTTTGCTAATGAACCAAATCTGGTGACTCAATGTGTGTCTTACAAAATTACTTTTCCGGCAAGAAATTTATGGGACAAAATTCAAAACTAAAATGGGGAAGATACATTGAAAGTTCAAGGCAGTACATACTTCCTTTTGGATTATAAGATTTATTTTTTTCCTGGAAGATTCTTGAACATCCTCTGACGTCCATATTCTAATTCTGTGTCTTTGTTTTCTCACTTTCAATGAATAGGTCTGTTTTGACTCATGAGTGTACTTCTGGGACTCCAGAGTTATTTAATAATTTGGGATGAATCCCATGTTGAAAATACCTCAAGACTTATATAATACCTCATTTATATTAGTAAGGATTTGCTCTGATTTTGCTGTCCACATGAGAGATGGAGAATGTGGTTGAAATATGTGAAACAACAGATCATATAAATACTGTACAGTAAGAATGAACATAGGAAGAAATATTTTAGAAATTGAAAAACTCATGGAGTTTGTAAAAGCAGAAATACCACAAGAAAGTTTCAATTTCAAAAGCAGGAAAAAATGGTTAGTGGTCAACAAAGAAAAGATGGTGGTGTGGAGATGAGAAGTTCTACAAGGACACAGAGTCAGGAAAATGATGAGATGCTCAGTGATTATCCCTGAGTAGTTGGATGGCAGACAATGCTTTGCAGGTAAACACTGTGTCTTTTAATTTTTTTCCTTTATTTTTATATATACATATGGGTGTTTCATCTGCATGTATGATGAACCAGCCTGCCTCCATCTTAAGCTTAAAAGCCATTTTATAGTAAAGACAAATGAGGCTTATTACTGTTTATGGATTAAACTTCTGATTCTCAAGGATTAGGCTATGCTGTCTGTAACCTTAACTACCAATGGCTCTGTATTGCATATTCCAGGAAACAGCAACCATGCCTTTGTTTCAAAAAGTTATAGCCATCTTGCAACCCTGCCTTTGTTTCAGAAGAGTTGTTATGACTACCTGTTGTTATGACTCTCTTGCTATGACCACCTTTGGTCATAGTCTTTGGTCTTGTCTTTGTTTTAGAAGGTCTTTATGACTAACTAGTTATGCTTAAGTTCTGCTCCTGTAAACCCACCTATTTTCTCCCATTTGGAAACCCTCTATCCCTGAGCTATAACAATCTTGTCTTTCTCACATCTAATGGTGACCCTTCAAACCCCACCTTAAGTAGAGGCAATCTGTATATGTGAATTAAAATTTTTAATTAAGGCTGGGCGGTGGTGGTGCACGCCTTTAATCCCAGCACTTGGGAGGCAGAGCCAGACGGATCTCTGTAAGTTCGAGGCCAGCCTGGACTACCAAGTGAGTTCCAGGAAAAGGCGCAAAGCTACACAGAGAAACCCTGTCTCGGAAAAAAAAATTTAATTAAAAATTAAAAATTTAAATTAATTTCTTGCTTTAATTAATTTGGTCATGATGGTGTGGGTCAGTGGTCTTTCTCCTCCCATCTTTGGGATCAATAGTATTTCTGTGCACCACATGTGTTTCTGATGTCCATGCAGGTCATTGTATCCTCTGGGACTGAAGTGATGAACAGTTGTGAGCCACCATGTGGTGCTGGGAATTGAACTAGGGCCCTCTGAAAGAGCAGCCAGTGCTCTTGTGCCTTTTAATGAACAGAACATGGACATTTACAAAGACTAGTTGATACATGTAGGGTTATATAATAAATTCTTAAAAGCAACTTAATAAGAGCAGCTAAACCCCAAAGGGGGTGAAATAGACACTCGGGGGTTGGGAGCACCCACTTCTCAAATCTAAACAGTGAGGATGGATGAAGTTGTTCCTGTTAAGAGTCAACTGGGCACACATCTGAAATCAGCAGTGACTTTAAACTTATAGCACACAAACAGTGGGAAACGGGATAGGACAGACTGTGGGACGGGAGGAGGTTCTGCTGCCTGAACAGGGTCGAGGTTTTGGAAAGCACGCCACTATTTCTCTTGGCATCATCTCTGTATCACACCTAGGGCAGCATTAAGGGAAACCAACTTTGCGTTTACTGCTGTGAATGAGGACAAGCGAATTTTTACAAACTCAGAGCAGATGTTCTGAGGGCTTTCAAGGGCTCCTTTTGGAGAAAGGCTTTCCACAGCTTGAGAGGTATGATTTAGTTTTATCTAATAAGGTTAAATTTCATGCGTGAGTCCCTCAAGTGCCTGCAAGCTCCATGAAAGATAATTGTTTTTAACTTTGAGCACATTGTCATCTTTTTATCCAATTAGAAAAGGTTCAAGAAAGCTAGACTGAATTCAATGACATTGTATTAACTGTAGAGATTCCCACATGCTGCCACTCACACCTTGGTTAGTTCCCTGCCCCTTAAACTGCACTACTGCTTTGTTTCCTGAGATTATCAGTCCTGGACTGTGTTGGTGACAGATCTTGCTTAATTTATCTCCTTATAGCTCATCTGGCCTCTGACCATTCCTATAGATGGTTTCCCAAAATGTCCTAGGGTAA